CGAGGGTCTTATTAATAAGAGGAAGTGGATAGCGATCTTTAATAGTAATAGCATTAAGCCTACGATAATCGATATAGAGGCGTAGGCTACTATCCTTCTTTAGTACGAATAGGATAGGGGCACTAGCAGGGCTGTTACTATACCGTATCCGGCTATTAGCTAGGTTTTCCTCTAGGTACTTACGTAACATAGCAAGCTCTCGTTTACTAAGGTTATAGAGGGGTCTAAAAGGGACCTCTTTGCCCTCTATAATATCAATCTTATAATCCGTCTCTTTAAATATAGGCAATGTCGATACTAAGTGGTGTTTAAATACATTAATATAGGTCTCTCGAATAGGTTCTAGTATACGCTTAAGCTGTTTAGGATCTATACTATTAGGGGGCACTAGTTTATCGTTATTACTACTAAGCAGGTCGGTAGTTAGATTAGCGGAGGCGGGAGTTAGGTTGCTAATAAATAGGACCCTAATATTATTAGGACACTCGCTAATATCGATGTGTTTAATATCCTCTTTCCTAGCGATTCTAAATCGCTATTGTTAACTACCTAAGTCTATAACTATAGTATAGTACTTAAGAACAGGGTTGCTAATAACAATATTAGATAGGAGGCTGTCTATATCTACTGCGTAGGTAGTGAAGTTTAGTAGGCGTTTATTACCGAGGTCGTCTCTTAGGGCTATATAGATATAGTAGGCTCCGTAGGTTAAGTGCCGAGCGTTATTAAACTAAGTAAGGGTTAGCAGGTTAGTCCTAGGCAGTTGTCGAAGGTCTAATTGCTTAGCTAGGCGATGGCTAATAAGGGCACTAACTGAATTTCCTAGATCTAGTGTAACCTTAGTCTTATAGTTAGTTCTATACGTATCCGATACGAGACAGGTACGTGTAATAGCTAGTACAATGTTAATAGTCTTACGCCGCACAAGGCTAATAGTTAGTGCGGCGCTTATTCTTTTTTCGAAGGTTAGCCTATAGGGGTAGCGTTAGCTGCTAAAAGGTGCTTTCGGTGCTTAGCGGTAGTACGGTCGATTCGGGCCTAGTCTTTAGGTTTATCGCATTAGCCTAGTAGATAGCTAGTGCTATTACAATTGAAGCACTTTAGTCCGGTTAGGGGATTGCTATAGCTATTGCCGCTATTGTTAGCCGAGCGATTAGTACTATAGGGATACGAGCCCCTTCTACGGCCCCTATTACGGCCTCCTCTATATAGCCGTCGGCTACGGCTTCTCCTACGGTCGTTGTTATTGCTACCTCTATTATTAGCACTAGTGTTGTTCTAATGCGAACCTTAATTGTTGCTTCCTCGGCTACGATAGGTAGATAGTCGTATCTTAGATTCTAACCGTTGCTATAGCTACACTATACGCTCTATAGTTTCTACTTCAATTATAAATTGAATTCGTATAAGATTAGCCTATTCGAATACACGGCGGCGGTCCAATTCAAGGACAAGCTCCTATCTCAATTTAGGGCGTATTTCGGAGATCTATATAGAATCGGTTTTAACCGGAAGGTTATCTTCGAGGGTCTTTAAATAGGCTTTAAATAAGCGAGCCGATTAATTAGTCTTTTGTTTAGCTCGAAGGTACTAGTCCTAAGCGTATTGTTGCCTTAGTATAGGGTTTCTAAGGGTGTCTAGTATAATAGTTTTGTAGGTTTGCTACTAAACAGCGGTCTAATCGGTAAGGGAGTTAAAGTGGTCGTCCTAGGTGCGTTTTAGGTTACTATTAATATATTATATAGTATAGACGACTAGCGAATAGTCGTCTAGCAGGGCCCTTAGTACATTTCGTTAGTTAAGCTTACAGTTACGAATGTAGTCGTTGTATTGCTTTCGACTAGAGCTATTAAACACGGTATAGTCCTTAAGTTTAGCATCCTTCTTCTAGACTAGGACTAATAGTAAGGAAGGCCCTACTGTCGGCTTAGTATTAGTTATTAGGGCCTCCTAAAGGCGGCGAATTTCGAGGAGGTTATCCTTTAGCTATTATTCTTAACGTAGGGCAGTAAGCCTGTTTTAGGTAGCTTCTTAGAGTCTCCCTACTAGTTAGGGCCTAAAGGCTAGTTAGCTATATCGACGGTTAACAATATTATTAAGAATATCGTCGACAGGCAATTCTAGGTCGTTACCTAGAATTATAGGTTCTTCTTTAACAGGCTCTCCGGTAGGCTCTTTAGTAGGAGGCACTTTAGCTAGTACTTTAGCGGGAACTGTACTACTAGCGTTGTTATTGCTAGCGCTACTAGCGGTAGTACGGTTGTTATTGCTTCGTAATAAGCCGGCTATTATAGTAGGGAGTAACACTAATAATATATTGTTAGCCCCTAAGATACGGATATAGCGGAATTAGTAGATATTAGTCTAGTACGATTAACTTAGTGTAGTAGGCCGTATAGAAGGCCTTGCTTAATAATTAGTACGGTTGTTTCGATGGAATAGTACGTATAGGTCCCGTTCTTCGGGCGCAATATAGTTAGATTAGTTATTATAGCTATACCGCTAAAAGCTTGAAATAAGGACTATCTAGCTGCTACCCTTAAAGGGTAGATCGAATACTATATAAGAAGGGTATATTAGCAGGTAGATAGGGTAGTAGTAGGTACAAGTAGTATTCGATAAGGATCTAGAAGGAGAGGGAGGAAGGCAGGAGAGTTAGCCTAACGCCAAGCGCCAAGCCCTGCCTAAGGCATCGAGACCCTAGCTTTACTCGGCCTAGTTATATACTAATTACGTATAGCCTCTTTAGCCCTAACATTATTATATTTTAAACTTATATAGCTATATAGCTTATCTTAGTCGTCTATATAATAGTAGTATAGTAGTATTAAATCTATATACTCTAACCTCTTAGAATTAGTAATACTAGTACTATTAATAGTACTAATAACTAGTACCGCCGAGCGTAACTAGCTAGTCTATAGCTTTACTATAAGCCTCTACTATAACTACCTATTTTATACTCCTATTAAGAAGCTAGTCTATTTCTATTAGAATCTATATACTAAATATAGGACTAGTAATAACTAGCTTATAGACGACGACTTCTACGACCTAGACTCTAGAGAAAGTGCTTAGGGCTATATTAGATAGCGAGGCCGATAATAGCGCTATTACTAACCCTAGTAGTAGTACCTATACTAGGGCGAGTCTATAGATATTTCCCTATATTTACCTACTCTTAGTATATAACGCATCGCTTCTTCAAATCTACTTTGATATAGTAGCTTAGTAGCTAGCCCCGATCCGATAAGACCCTCTATATATCTACTCGTACGTACGTAGCGGGTTTATCGGTAGACACTTCCCCTGTTTTGCAACCGCGGTGGAAGCATAGAATAGCACTGGTGCTCGGAGGAAGTGCCAGGCATGCGACGGCAAGGTGCGCTCGTGCGAACCGATCAGTCGAGGTGGTGCACGCGGTTTCCGGTATATGGTAATGGTATGTACAGTATGGTATACGGCACACGGTAATACGTGATGCCTCCTTGGTGCTAGCGCTTCCCTTGTCCAGCTGTATGCGTTGGCACTTCAACGTCGACTGCTGCAAACCCACAGGCCACGGCGTTTGTCCTGCACGCATCGACGTCAGAATGCAAGTGCATATGAGCTTGCAGGCCTCATTGGTGCCACGACGGCCTCTGACCAGCAAGGCGGGTCTGTCCACTCCGCTGCACGCTGCCGGCAGAAGGTAATTATTGTGTCGTGTCTGCTTTCTTGCCCGCTTTGCCTTTGCTCGAGTGGCGCTTCTCTTGGTCGACTTCATCGCCCACACTGTGAGGCATTGGCGACAGCTTGTTCGGCGTTGGGCGGTGGTAGTCGGATTCTGCACACATCTCACCTCTCTCGAGCCTGCTGCCAGGCGCCACCAAAACAACCACGACCGACCGGGCTAGAGCGCGCGCACAACGCCGGGATCGCTGGCGAAATTGGGCAGGAGAATCTTGTGTGCGTTGGCAGTCTTCAGCGATCCATCACATCCTTCCAGCGGCAGCTCCTCGCCACCGCGACGACGTTCATTCATTCGCGCATTCATATTCGCGGAGCTTGCAACGATAGTGTGGTCGGAGACACCTTGGCGATGCTCCTGGCATACGACACCACAACAACAACAACATTGCCGGGTGACGTTGGCCCTCTGTTGCCGACTTTGGCACCTTCCAAGCTCCAACAACTCCAACTTCCTTCCTTCATTGGCCCCACGGCATCGATGAGTGACGAATGAGACACTGCCATCTTGCTAGGCGCGGAGTGTGTCCTGGCGTACACATTAGGTAGTGCTATGCCCTCTCTTGTGTCAATTCTGCCTCGGACAAGACGACTGATGGCTCGTAGTCAGTGTGATATAGCACTTCTACCGCCCGGCCGGTCCAGGCGTCGGCCAAAGAGGACGCTACACAACTCTTTTCTACTGCTCCTTTCGTCTTGTCAAGGCCGCTGATAGTACCATTGGCCCATCGCCTCCCTCCGATCTCCACCGCGGCACTCTATTGCGCTTGCCTACTGGCTCCCTACCCTGTCTGGTCTTCTAGCTAGCCTGCGACATTCGCCGCCGCATCAAGCGCTCGCAACAATCACGTTGTTTGAAGCCTGACAAGGCCCTGTGCTGTCTTGTGGCAGTGCTCGGCATCCGTCCCTGCCAGCTGTGGAACGGTGTCAGCGGTCGAGGTCGTTGAGCTGGACTTGGCTAACAGGCATGCTCTGTGCTGAGAGGCTGGATCGCACTGTCTAACGTTTCTGCCATTCACTTACAGAGACCTTCTCATCTGATTGATTGGCGCTGTGCTCTGCGTCTCATTGACGACGATCCTGGATATAGTGAATCGTGGAAGATACAACTTGCATGGTGTGCCGTAGAGGAAACCCTTCTCTTGTGCCCCATTGACCAAGGTCGATGGCAGTATCACAAATCGAGGAGAAGATCCTTGGTCGCCTTGCCAAACAGACTGAGCCATCGAATGTATTACTTTCAGCGTCCTTGTATCAAGTACTCGGCCTATCCATTCTCCTCTCGAGAAAGCTCTACAGAGCCCGAAAGCTACGCAAGCTTGATGCATCCCGAGACACCAAATCCTTACAGCTGTATCATCACATAATCTGGCTTGCGCGAGAAGGCTTGTCGATTACAGAAGTATACATACTGCCTTACTGTCAAGATGGAGAACAAGGCGCGGAATGCAGGGTCATGGCAGCCAAGTTGAGGGCGTCGCTATATCATGTGTTCTGCCTCTTTCACAACCATCCACCCATCAGCCAGGTCAGTACACGGTCGCCAGATACAGGGAGTCCGCCATCCAGCAAGAGCTCGAACACGCCGAGAGCCAACCCAACATCTTGGTCACCTGCGGACAGAACGGCAAAGCCTCTTGTGCCAGCAGGCAGTAGACGCGCTGGAAAAGCACCTTTGCGCGATCCAGTACCCTCGATGCAGTCGGACGTCTCATTTGTGACAAACCCCTACGCCGTGGGCACTGGGCAGACGCCGCCACCAGGTTCCGCAATCCTGCCTCATGCCCAGCAGGAAGGCGCTCGAAGAACTCCGTCTAGACCACCTGGATTGGCACCGATCAACATTGGTGCAGCACGATCGGCGGCTTCATTCTTATTACCGCCTTTGAACTTCGTGCCAATGGCCAAGGAACACTTTGAGACGGCTCAAGTTCTAGCGACCAACCTCCTGTCGACCACACACGCACTGCGCTTATCCGTCTCGCTTGAGCACTCTGCCTTCCTCTGGGATTGTGCAAAAGACCACGACCGGGCACGTAGACTTGCCAGGCGCACAATCAAAGAAGTCTACAGCTCGCAAGAAGGTCTCGATGACGACGAATTCGCGGATGCCTCTGCGCTCGTCCAGGCGCTGGGAGGCATTGTCAGGAGGGGATCCGCCGAGTCCACACCACGCCCAGGTGCATCAGCAGTCACAAGCCCGACAAGTCCGAATCAGCGTACTCCTAGGCAAGCACCTGCAGCATCAAGTGTGGTACCTCCTATCGACCGCACGATAGCAGTGAGTCCCCAACAGCGGCGCAACTCACCACAGCAGTATCGCCAGGCTTCAAACATAGCGCATCAAAGCCACATTCCACGCATCTTCATGCGCACTCCTGAACGCCTGTCAACCGTACCGGAAGCAGAAGTAGAGTCGACAGATGCCGGACGAACGACTCTCAGCCCGCCAGTCTCTCGCTTGAGCAGTCGAAGCCGCCAGCGAAGAGCATCGTCCGTAACATCAGCTGCCTCTGATAAGGCATCGAAACGCAAACTGGTAGAACAGGCTGAGGATCAGGTGCGCCAGAGACAGCGGAGTACAAGTAATGCCAGTCAGGCCAGTGCAAGCAGTAGTCGAAAAGGCAACGGCAGGAGCACCGAGGACATTGCAACTCGAGGCAGTCGGCAAGGCAGCCCTGCGCAAAGCAATAACAGCAGACAAGGAAGAGGAACCGAAGGCAATTCGCACAGTCGGCAGCCCACGCCGACCGAAGGGTACGTCAGACCGAGAGATCCTAAACCTCCTCCCACACGTGCGAGCCCGAAGCGTAGATCATGACAGCTCGAATAGAACAATGCCATCTCCTGTGATGAGGCGAGCATCGCCGGTTTCGCGCTCCCCATCGCCGAAACCCCAACAAGCATTCGGCATCGATATTCCTGGGCACGCGATAGAAATGGATGATGTTTGCACGAGAGATCTCCCAAGACAACCGAAACTCAAGTCAGCTTCTGTGGCAGAAGATCGACGCGAGGCCATACGCAGGACTTTGCAGATCATATCCGCTGTGTCGAAGGGACTGCACGTTCCTGCTTCGGCCCAAGCGCAAAAGCAATGGAGACTGTTGTGATTGTGAGATTTGGTTCCAGTATAGGTACGAGAACATGAGGTACGAGTAACGGGCAACGAGAAGGGAGCATAGCGTCGGCGCGATATACCCTGTGTGACATTAGCTTCTTGGAGGACTCTGTGTACATACTTATCCTCTTGCATGGATATGAAGACATTTGTTCTGGTAGCGAGACGAATGCGAATTTGCCATGTATCGAGCCCTAGGTCTAAACTCCTTCGAGACCAGAGGAAACCCATGTGCTCGACATGTTTCCCGCGAAGCTGCTACATCTCGACAAGTCTGAGTCACCAAAAGTCCCGCGTTCGCCCTCAGAACTCCTTATTCCGTACAGACTTGGTCTGCCTTCTCACGACCTCGACTCATTCTCGTCTTCGACCTCAAGCAATAAAGTCTACATGCCGGCTTTAGAGGAGCATTGCAACAATGCCACCTAGAGCCGCGGCAAGACCAGCAGCCACAGGTTGCCTTCAGGAGTCTCCATCTGGTATCTCTGGCGGCGGGTCATCTGGTATCTCCGGCGGCGGGTCATCTGGTGTCTCTGGCGGCGGGTCATCTGGTGTCTCTGGCGGCGGGTCATCTGATATCTCTGGCGGCGAGTCGTCTGGTATCTCTAGCGGCGGGTCATCTAGTATCTCTGGCGGCGGGTCATCTGGTGTCTCTGGCGACGGGTCATCTGGTATCTCTGGCGGCGAGTCGTCTGGTATCTCTGGCGGCGGGTCATCTGGTATCTCTAGCGGCGAGTCATCTAGTATCTCTGGCGTCGGGTCATCTGGTGTCTCTGGCGGCGGGTCATCTCGTGTCTCTGGCGGCGAGCCATCTGTTGTCTGTGGCGGCGACTCATCAATAGAGAGAGTAGATGTACTTGAGGAGTCAGAGGAGGGTGTTATGGTGATCATGCTACCGCTGGGAGGCGACAAGAGGTCCGACAAGAGGTCTATGGTGATCATGCTGCCGCTGGGAGGCGACGAGGGGGTTATAGTCAGTATGCTGTCGCTAGGAGACGACGAGCGGGTTCTAGTGATTACGCCGCTGCTGCGAGATAACCGAGAGACTACGGCCTTAATCCTCCCGCTAGCCGTTGAAGTTGGAAGAGCTATTGCTACTCTAACGACCGTTTTCAAAACAGGCCTCCTAGTGATGATTGGCACAACAGTGGTCTTGTGGCTAGTGGTCTTGTGGCTAGTGGTCTTGTGGCTAGGAGACGACGAGCGGGTTCTAGTGATTACGCCGCTGCTGCGAGATAACCGAGAGACTACGGTCGTAATCCTCCCGATAGCCGTTGAAGTTGGAAGAGTTGTTGCTACCATAACGACCGTTTGCAAAACAGGCACGCTAGTGATGATTGGCACAACAGTGGTGCTGTGGCTAGGAGACGACGAGCGGGTTATAGTGATTACGCCGCTGCTGCGAGGTAACCGAGAGACTACGGTCGTAATCCTCCCGCTAGCCGTTGAAGTTGGAAGAGTTGTTGCTACCATAGCGACCGTTTGCAAAACAGGCACGCTGGTGATGATTGGCACAACAGTGGTGATAGTCGCGTGGCTGCTGGTGCTTGGCTGCTGGACCGCAGTAATGACAGGATTTCCCAGGCTCGTTGTCGAAGTGTCATTTCCCGTCACAGTTACGGTGGTGACATGGCTGACAGAAGTTGCTACCATAGCGACCGTTTGTAAAACAGGCACGCTGGTGATGATTGGCACAACAGTGGTGATAGTCGCGTGGCTGCTGGTGCTTGGCTGCTGGACCGCAGTAATGACAGGATTTCCCAGGCTCGTTGTCGAAGTGTCATTTCCCGTCACAGTGACGGTGGTGACATGGCTGACAGAAGTGGTCGGAGTAGGACCGACGGGCAGAGTGCCATTTGGAGGCACTGTAACGGTCAAGGTCGGTCCATAAAGCGAGGTCTGATGATGGGTCACCGTGCGCGTGAGCGTTGGCCCGCCCGAAGTGTCATTGGCCGTGAGAAACACCGTGGTGGCGTAATTGGTGTTGTTCGCCGAAGATGAGCTGCTCGATGTCTGATTGCCAATCGCGGTGACCGTGACAGTATTTGCATAGCTGAACGGAGTCCCCTAGACTGTCGTGGTAAGAGTGATCGCCACGCCCACAGGCTGTCCAGATTGGCTCTGGGTAGATGAGCGAGATGGGCTCTGTTGTCCTGGAGCTGTGATGGCCACGGTACTTGCGTTGCCAGCAGAACTTGGCCCGCTTCCTCCGTTGCCGAGAGCCGTTGTTGCTAGGCTCTGTGGTCCTGGAGCTGTGATGGTTACGGTACTTGCGTTACCACCAGCACTTGGCCCGCTTCCTCCGTTGCCGAGAGCCGTTGTTGTTAGGCTCTGTGGTCCTGGAGCTGTGATGGTCACGGTACTTGCGTTACCACCAGCACTTGGCCCGCTTCCTCCGTTGCCGAGAGCCGTTGTTGTTAGGCTCTGTGGTCTTGGAGCTGTGATGGTCACGGTACTTGCGTTACCACCAGCACTTGGCCCGCTTCCTCCGTTGCCGAGGGCCGTTACTGTTACTGTTGATGGCGGGTTTTGAGCGGCCGGGATGTTGTTCGTGATGGTGACTGTCTGTCCGCCAGCATTAGATGAAGCTGGAGGGCCATCTGTTCCTGCAGCAGAAAGTGAGCCAGCTGCTGGAGAAGAACTTGACGCTGTCACGCTAGCAACAGAAACGACCGTCTGGAAGACTGTCTGTTGCCCGCCTTCAGCAGAATGGCTTAATCCTGCCGCGGATTGACCCAGAGGCCACCCATTGACGCCGGGGGTGAAGCCAGATACAACTCCAGGCGTGCTTGTGAGGCTGACAGAGCCAGAGCCAGCACGGATAGTTGCCCCAGAGCTTATGGTGTCAGATTTGCTGTGGGCACCAGATCCGGCAGACGAAGAAGCGCCTGAACCAGATCCGTTGCCAGAGCCTTGTGATGAAGCACCGGAGCCTGGAAAAGAGGAAGTTTGCGTACCTTTCAGTGTAAGATTGGCGCATGTGATGGCCGTCTGATTGGCGAAGTGCACAACGATGCTGCGATCTGTCATGCATTGCAGACAGCCGGCCTCATTTCGATTTGAGACAAAGTCTTCGACGTAACTTTGAGGGCTGTCAGCGCGCTTCGACCCACGTCTCAAATGAACACTGACGTCGCAGAAAAGGTTGTGCCGTTGATCTTGCCGTGCTTGCCTGACAGGTCGCCAGCCTCACAATCTTCCGGATGATTAGGATCTTGGCAAGGGTATTGGCTTGAATGGGGTGCCAAGTGGCCTCCAGCAGCAGTGCAATTCCCATCTGGCCCAACTGGCTTCTGATGAATATGATAGACTATGTCCGTGTCAGCCTCATTCTGCCAACTTCGCGGCGCACTGTCGTTGACGCACGGAATGGTCCTCCCTCTGCCGGCAAGGCAGAAAAGTTTGCTTGAACACTGACGCCATTGCCACCTGGGCCCTGGCTGATGGAAACGGAGCCACTCGGAAACTTCGAGGGTGGAAGCTGGGCAAGCCATTGAAGAGTCGGATTCTCCTGCGTGGGCGGTGTAAGAGCCTGCACACAGCCGGCCGTGGCTACAATAGCGATGGTGATCTTGGCGAGCTGCATGGTGGAAGCGGTTCGAAGTTGTGTGGTTTGCAGATCGATGGGCTATGAGAGGCGATGTGAGGCTGACGAAGGTGTAGAGCGGGATCGGAATGCATGCAATGCCAATGGTCAACAATGCCAAGAGAGTGCTCTGCAAGGCCGCCAGCGGCGAGGACAGGACGGTAGGCAATACAGGATTTGGAGATAATGCAGCTTGGTGAGAGGGAGAGGGAGAGGGAGAGGGATGCACAAGCAGCACAAGCAGCAGCAGCAGCAGCAGCAAGAGGATAGTCGGACGGTGCAAAGATCGAGGTGGAGCGCGCGCTTTCCATCTGATGCAGGCACGACCACCGCCGGAAAGTGCTGTGTGACAGACATGACACTTTCTTGGAAGGCTCGTCTTGTCGTGGATGGCCGTTGCCACGTCGTCTTTCGATCCTGCAACATCGGAGGAAGGTGGCATCTTTCAAGCGCCGCCCGTGAATGCACACGATATTTGGCAATCGGAGCATGTGCACGACTGCGCGTGGAATAGACATGACATTACGGGGTTGAGAGCTTCCCATCATGTCGGTATGATCTTCACTTTCCAATTGTCGCTGCTCTTTCCCTACTAAAGACAATCCATCCGGAATGCTGGCTCCAAAGGCCAGCCATGTCCATCTCTCTCGCTCATGCTTGCTGAGATCCATGCTACGTCAGTACCACTCTGTTCGATGCTGCATGCCACTCCAAAGGAAATGCCTCCCGCTTCAATATGCTCCGACCAACTCAGTCTCAGTGCCAAAGGTACCCGCGACACTTTGCTGCTCCGCAGTTGCACGGGATACTGTCAATATTTTCCGGATTCGCCAGTGCTGCTTCACGTCCCTTGATCGCCTCCTCCAGCTCTACTTCATCCTTGTCTGCATAGTCGAAAGTGAGTTCTGTTCCCGCTGGAATGTCCTCGTACGCAAAGAAGGCCAGCGTGAACAGTCGCAGGTCGTTCTTATTGTATGACACCGTGTATTGTCGGCAATTGGGTTCACAGCTGTGATTGATGAATCTTGTCACGTTGCCCATGTATTGCCCGTCCACAACATATGTGTCTTCTTCACGAAGGGGCTCGCCTTCCGCCGTGCGGTCGCCAACAAATTTGTCAAGGCTGTAGAGATAACTCGCCTTTGACTTGTTCCCCACCTGATTCTCTCGGCGCTCACACTCCTCAAATGTGATCACTTCTCCAAGGTACGTGTCGATGAACTCGCCTTGGATCAGATCTTCGTCACAATACACTCCCCACCCTCGATTTCGAGTCTTGAACACGACTAACGGCACCTTTCTGCCTTTCTGTACCAGCCGCGTCTTGCACTTGGGACCGCACTTGCAGTTGCGGTTACACTCATAAATCGGGTGTCTGGATTCGCGGTAGAAAGGCAGCAGAGTCTGAGGTACAGATTGACCTGGCTTTCTGTATGGGAATCGTTTAGGCAGGCCTGTTGTGTCAATGCCGCCACCTTCTGCCTTCGCGACCATGTAAACGGCGTACGTGTCCGGTTTCGTGCGTTCCAAGGCTTTCTCATCGACCGCAGCAAACTGCAGGCAGTCGCATTTGGTTGAGTATTCGCAGCCAACGCCTCCGCCCATGTCCGCTTTGCATTTTGTGCACCCTCTGTATTCGTCTTCAGAGATCCCGGAGACGTCCTTCCCCAACACATACTCACGGATGAAGGTGAAGTCGAGAGAGGGAGTGCTTGAGTCAATATCGTTCTCCAACCGCACTAATCCTCTTGGGTCGTGCACTGCGAGTTTGTCTTGAAATGCCGCCCGGATCGCACTCTCCGCTTGGACAACTGCGGTCCTGGAAGCGGTTCGTCGCATTTCGTCAGTGGGTATAGTCCTGCTGTCTATAGTGGTCACTTCTGGACCTTCTGCTCGCTTGGCGATGATCTTTCCTTCTTTCTTCTGGAGAACTCCGTTGTATATGCTTGGGCCTGGAATCTCTGGTGGTTCTGGTGTCCCCAAGTCAATGACGGAGGAAGATCGCGACCTCACAATGGAGTCTTGAGGAGTCAGCAGCCCGCTGCCATTGCTGTCAAGGTCACGTGTTGCGATAGGTTCCGAATCTGGGGATTTTCTTTTTCTTTTCATGCCAGAGGTGAGCTTTCCGATTGCTCGTGTAGCACTTGGCAGAGTGAGGATGTATGCCTGCACCATGTGAAGGCTAGGCCAGAGCTCGCGCAAAGGGTGCCATGAGCACACCGCGCGTGGAGGCGCGGGCAGCACTGAGTCAGTTCTCCATCGGACAAGATATTGCTCGCACTGCATCTGTTAGTATCTCTAGAGTCAATCGATGGTAATAAAATGCTTACACCTTCGAGTTGCCGATGGCAAAGCACCTCAACCACGTCCTTAGGTCGGACTGTATGGGTGGCCCGTGCGGAGCCCGGCGTGGATGTTGTGTGCAAAAGCGACATTATTGAGAAACGCAGGTTCCAAATAGTTGAAATAGACTGAGTGTCTATTTTAGTGTTGGTCGGGCTCACTAAATCGCAATATCTAAGGTAGAGTGGTAGAACTAGAAAGTAAAGGCAAGCATGTTAGAATAGTGGATTAACAAAGAAACGCGTGCTAAGTAATTAGAGTTTAGCGCTACTTACTAAGCTAGACGCGACTCTAGAGCAGACAAAATGCTTCTATTCTTACAAAATCGTCTTTATAGAAATATTTAATATCGTTACTCCAGTATATAGACCCAAGAAAGCACTCTAGTACAGATATATAAGCGTCCTAAAGTCCTTACTGCGGATCTCAGTTCTTGCTCCTGGGCCCTTAACTACTTTGCTCGGACTTCAAGGCGCTCCGTGCGCATTAGAGTTCCACCTACCGCCTGCCGAAGTTCCGAAGAATTTCTGGAGCTTTGCGCCAGCAAGTCTAAGTATACTCGATCAAATACAGTCGTCAATATGCCAGCAGCAAAAATGACGACAAACTCAGAGGCGAATCCATTCATCAAGCAACTAGCATCAAGTGGTATGGCACTCTCAAGCCTCATGACTTGAATCTTTCTAATAAGACCACAGATCGAAGTATTCGCGATCGAGCACTTTCCTCACTACGAACCTATCTCCACCGCTCCACGCCTTTCACCGGACTTGATCTCCTCAAGCTATGGAAAGGGCTTCACTACTGCATGTTCATGTCCGACAAGCCTCGAAACCAACAACGACTTGCTCGAGATCTGGCGGCCTTAACAGATGTATTGGCGCCCGCAAACGTCTCACCATGGTTTGCCGCATTCTGGAAGACGATCAGTAGAGAATGGGGCAGCATCGATAGTCTGAGGATGGACAAATACCTTTACCTCATTAGATGCTATGTCAACAAGGGTTTTGAAGTTTGTGCGAAGAAGAAGTGGGACGAAGACTTTGTGCATCAATATTTAGAGGTCCTGGAAGCAGACGGCGGTCCGCTCAGTTTGAGAGACATGAAGGTGCCAAATGGGCTGAGACTACATGTACTTGACATCTGGTTGGATGAGCTGCAGAAAGTGGACGAGCACAGGCAGGCTCCCATTGATAAAATCATGGCTCCGATCAGCAAACTGAAGACAGGTAGTATGGTCAAAAGCGTAAGAGAACGCGCAGGAGAGAGCTTCGATGACAATAGGCTACTAGACGGCAAAGCGTGGCGGCCCGAGGACGAGGAGGAAGAGGAGCCAGACGCTGGCTTTGGTGGGTTTGACGGCTGATAGGATGTGGGTGAACGATTCACAAGCAAGCGAGGAGTTATGGCGTTTGAGAGACATGGCACTTAATGATACCCGTATGTCTAAACACACTCAGTCCGACTGCGGTTTAACACATGTTCCATTACTTCTCTATATGCGAATGCACGCCACAGAATGACAATATCCATCAACACCGAATATAATCATTCATAGCCAACCAGTTCCCCCAATGCGTTTAATGATGATTTGCTTTTCGATTCGCACACATGCATGAGTCTCTCACAGAGAATTCGACAACTTGTGCTACTCTTCTAGCACTTGAGGTTGAATTTGGTTTTGCGGTCGCCGGTCATAGCTCCCCACGTGCCCTCCTTTTGAGCAACGCCGTTGTCTCCAACGGAGTCCGGCTTCCAAGGCCTGAAGATTGTCAGTTGAACCCACAATTTCCTACACGACAACACTTACTCGTCAAAGGCTTCAAAGTAAAACGCGTTGATGCCCCAGTCAAGGATACCACAAAAGCCTTGGTGGTAGAAGGTCTTCGCGTTTTCAGTTCCAGCCTTGGCAGCTTCGTAGTCAGAGCCACCGTCGGTCGGCCAGCCAGTCTCGCCGTTCCAGAATTCGACTTTGTCCAAGCCCCCAGCGACTTCTTGGATGTGGCCGAGTGCCTGCTGCATGTCGTCAAGGTAGGTGGTCTTTGCATCGTTGCCTGCGGCCTTGCCTTGCCAGTAAGAAAAGCCGTTGGCCAGGATGAGGTCAACACCACCCTTAATTACGGCGTCTCCAGTGCCGTCTGCCCATTTGTTCCAAGAGTCTGCGGTTCCACACTTGACGTCTCCACCGAGTGCCTTCTTAACATCTTGAATTTTCTCAAGCAGCTGCGCGCCAGTGAAGTTGCCACGGTACAGAGTCTCTGATCCGACAGTGATTGCATAGACCTGGTCCTTGAAGTTTGGCACATAGGTCATGAGGGCCTTCTTGTCTGCGTTGAATGACTCTTCCACGTCAGGCCAGACACCAAGCATCACCTTGAAGCCCTTAGACTTCGCAGCTGGGAGAATGTACTGGGCGCAGTTGCAGTCCGATGCAGAGTATCCTCGAACAAGGGTCGCGCCGGAATTGGACTTGATCGCGTCGAAGTCGGCTTCGTAGTCGGCTTGGTATTTGCAAGTTCCGTCGGGCTTCTTCGTTCCCAGAGCGAAGCCCATTTGGCCTTTCTCTCCGGCGGCAAGCACCGAAGGCACCGTGGCCAGCGCGAGAGCCGCGATGGTAGTGGTCGCGCGCATAGTTGTGATTAGACGGGAAGGAAATGAGGGCTAAAGGGTGCGGTTGGTGGGTGGTCTGTCGTAGTCCTGGTATGCAATGCTTTCAAATAATTTGCAACAAAAACAGTGATCAAGGAGTGTATGTGCACCGATGTGCTTTTGGATAGGGATCGTGATCAAAGGACTGCCTTTCGAGGCTGATGAGAGCGTGAAATGATGGAGTTGTGGAACGCGAGAAAGGGGCAAGACCCACAAGGTCTGAAACTCTATCGTGCTGACTCAGTCAGGACATCACGCTCGTGAATTCGGGACCTCTTCGACCTGGTTTGCATTTCGTGACAGTAGACTCGAGCTTCTGAAGACTGATTTCCCGCCTTCCACGCGACTCTTCAGGTCACGATTCTGGCCAACATTTTCACTGCGGAAAACTGTAGAGATGGAGGTAGAGTTCGTAGAGTGGTGCCACGAAAAGGCCTATAATTCCTCGAGAGCGTCGTTTTGGTACCTGTCGGACCTGAATTGCAAGTTTACCACCGCATGACCGAGAACCATAGGGGCCGCCAGCGACTGCCACGTCACGGGCTGAATGGGAGACGAAAGACCGGGAAGTCTTCAGTGTTTATGCAAAGTTGCGCGAGGTCGAGGTCCACGGAAGCAAAATGGAAAGACCTCATATGGCACAATAGTGACCTTTGCTGCTGTGATAGGATCCGGACTTTCTGCAACCACTGATCTGGTAGCGACATTTCAGGGGGCGATGCAAGACCAGATATCGACCATACTCGGGATGGGCGTTGTGTACGTCGGCGAAGGGAGAAACAGACCTTGGATCAGGAGTTTGAGCGTGCAACGCTCGTCAAGAGATGCAACTCTGGGATTGAGAGGTTCGTCAGCGTTTTGTGCTTACCTGCAACGCGATCCCGCCTTGGCATCAAATAGCAGTGAGAGGCGAGATGCATGCGGTCTGAACCGTAATAATAGACAAGACTGCAGGCGAGAAAAGTGTCTGTCCGACAATTCGAGCAGCTGGAGGGAGGCACGACACGCTCCACCGGTCCCGCATTTTCCCGACCACTGAGAAATCTTTCACATTCTCATTGCAAAGTTCCAGCTATCGACATCGACATCCACCTGATATCTCTTCCCCGAGTAACAGGATGGCCGTGAACACTGGCACATTACCGCCGCACTTGCGCAAGGCTGCGATGAAGAATGCAGAAGCGCCGAAACCAGCGTCAGATTCGGTGTCAGCAACCAATGCTGCTCCAGATGTCGCCTCTCCTGATGGCAATGCCCCCTCAAACGAAGAGCGCGCCGTAATTCCCTTTGGCAAGGCACAACGCACGACTCGCGGAGATCGTTCAAGCATAAAGGTGAGTTGAGCTTTCTCAATAGCCACGGCAACAACTGACACGCGCTGCAGGACTCTTATGCCCGTCTTGAGGAAAACTTTCGCGCCGCCAATGCCGCTCTTGCTAATGACAACGATGAGCTGCATGAGCGGTGCGATGAGCTCGAGATTGAGAATGAGACACTCACTACCCAGTGTCAAGAACTGACCGACAAGAACGTTGAGCTTGTGCGCCGGTGCGAAGATTTCGAGCGCGATAATGCCAAGTGCGGTCTGCACGTTGACAGCCTCGTCGAAGAGAATAAGCAGCTTCTGGCCGAGGTCCAGGATCTGAAGCAGAAGATGCTGGAGAACGAGCAGCATCTGGAGGAATTTCAGCGCCTCGCCGCTGTCAACCCAACCAAGAGCAGCGTCAAGCAGGAGCCAAATTCTACGTGGCACGCGACTGCCGCAAAGCCAAATGTCACGCAGCTCTCGAAAGAACAGTTGAATGAGGTATTGGGCCAGCTGCATGTGTCTTATGCCGACGTCCAGCGACAAGCTGAGGAGGCGGCTAGCATCCGCTACAAGGGCGTCATGGATGCACAGGTCGCAATGCAGGATAAGCTTGAGCGCCGTATTTTGGCCATGGAAACTCGCAATGACCGTGCTGGCGATGCAAACGAAGGCTTCCAGGTGGAAAGCACTCCAGCCGAGACGATTCGGCTACTGCAAGCTGACTTGGATGCACTTAAGACGACCATTGCCATTATGCAGCCGCAATGCAACCAGACTACGGACAACTTTGACACCATGGTCAACCGCGTGGCTGCAATTGAGTTACAGACCCAAGAGATGGTGGAGAGCAAGCAAGGCAGCACCTACACCATGCCCAGCGCCCCACATGCTGCTGATACCGACTACCAGACGAAGACCAAGCTTCGACAGCTGAAGGAAGAAGTGGTAAGTGATGTGAAGCTCGTAACAGAACCAAGACTAATGAAGACATCAGACGAAGCTCAAGGGCTTCAAGGACCGCATTAAGAACATCCGTGATCACGAGCAGGCGATCAGCGAAGCGCAGAACGTAGAAGGGCTTGTCGAACAATACAAGAAGGTTAGCAAGGCGATCGATAGCAACGGCTGGTAAGAAAGCAATAACTTGAGAACATGTCTGAGGGACTTGCTGACTTTTGAGTTATTTAATAACCTTTTAGGGAGGCTAGTGACTTCGAGAAGTTGGCAATGGAAGATCTTCATACACTTCGCGAGTATGTGGTCTTGAAGTACGCCACTTTCAACGTACGCGGACGAGCTTTCATGGAATTGAAAGCTAAGATTATGGGAGGAGTCAGTGAAGGCTCGCCTGCGAGCGATGACTGTGAGAATTGCTGAGGCCGTCTATCACCGACAGGAAGATGAGCAGCGCGTTTTTCGCCACATGAAGTTGCACGACGAGGCATTTTGTCGGACGAATGATGCATGATGGGCGCACTATCGTTGCTAGTGCTGTGTAGAGCTTTCAGTGGTACAGCATTGGGCATGGATAGAAGCCTCTGCAACGCAGGGGCGCTATCGCTCGTGTTGACGCAGACGTAGACCAAAGTACAAATGTTTGAGTGCGTAGGCAGCTACTTTCTTTTTAGCAACCCTTGGTGGCATCTTGGAATATGCTGATGATCGAAAGCAAACGGTTGGCAAAGTCTACGAGCGCTGGTGCTATCGAAGCATGATCGAGTGACCAGGATCATAACTTCTCCAGCAGTATCCTGGCGCCGGCATTCCCTTTGCCCACGACCTTTCCCTTCTTACTTCTCTTCCCTTCGTCGTCACCGCCTTCTGCTGCTTTTTCAATCTGTTTCTTTCCGCTCTTCAAAACCTTCTTCACTTCTTTCTTGAGTTCATCCGACACATCTTCGCTCTCCAACAGAGCGACACAAACAAAGCTAGAGTCACTGCATGCCCAATCGACCAGATGGTCTTTAATCACCGGATATACAGCATCCGCGAAGCCCAAGCGAGGCTCGGAAAGCTTGGTGGTCTTCGTCTTCGGGTCGAAAGGTCCTCCAGCGACAAGCGCCTTTAGCATACGACCCGAAGCGGCATCGCGTGCAATGTGTGTTTCCTCTGCGGGATCTCCTGCGGCGAGCGCAGCGACTGCTTGCTTGGCAGAGTCACGATGCGATCCAGAGCACTCCAGCAAGATCTCGGTCACGGCTTGACTGGCGAAGGAGGATTGCACAAGATTCGTGGCTCGATCAGCGACAAATTCCAGAAGTGGCTCAGAAAAGTTCTTGATAATCTCTTGGCGTCTCGCCTCTGGGTCTTTCTTTGACGTAGTTTTTCGGATTTCATGCACTTCATCCAAAATCTGCTTTTCGTCGTTGCTCATCAGCCATCTAGCGGCACCAGCCATTGGGTATAGAATAGGTACGCGAGCATCAAGCGAAGTGATCAGTCCTTCCAATCGGTCGGAACGTTGGGTCTGATCTTCAGTCTGGAGTCCAAGAAGTTCGCGAACAATGGTTTGAGAGGTCATCTTCGTGTCGTCCGGAACATCGAGCCCTGTGACTAGGACGATCTTGGCATACCGATCAAATGCCATAGCCTCAATGTGATCTTTGAAACACTTGAGTATGACTTTGCGGTCTTTCGCGGACCCGTGTGCCAGTGCAAGACAGACAAGGTGTGCCCCATTCTTGGTGAAGGCCAAATTTCTGTACAGATCGCCACCTCCGCCTTCCTCCTCAGCATCGATGTCACCTTTCAGGATTTCAAGAAACTCCGACTGCTCTTCTGAACCTGGCATTGTCGCCAGGAAATACTGGAGCATTGCATCATGCAGCATGGTGAAGCCTGTCATTTTCTTCTGGATCAAGTTGTTGATCATAGTCTTGAGGTAAGACATGATAGGCTTGCGCTTCTCGGGATTTTCTTCCAGTATCGTCTTGAGATCCGATGTTACGCTTTTATCAGCCGTCTTTCCTGACTTCTGTTTCCCTTCAAGCGCGTACTCCGCGCCATACCACTCTCGCAGCATCATAGCTTTTTGCGGTGGAGTGGCGACCTGGCGATAGATGTCGTCCACAATCCATGATGCCTCAGGGTGGTTGATCAAACGCTTGATGTGGCCATAGAACTGTGGTACGATCAAATCCTTGTCTTCGCGATCCCCTTGTACCACCATCTTCGCGACGAGAAATTTGCCGTATCTGCTTTCAACGAGATCCCGTACATCGCCCTTAAGCTCTTTTACAATTCCCTTTAGCTGGTCTGAGCGCGCGTACTTGATCGCGCACTGTACCACACGCACGCTGTCGTGCTTGAAGACAAAATCCCGGACTCTGCCATCAATGATCTGGAAAAGCTCTGTCACAAGCTCCTTCCGCTCCTCCTTCGGCACATGCGACTTTCTTCGTAGGCGCTCCCATAGTTGCTTTGTTCTTTGCACTGCGTCTGCATTTGGCTTGGCCGCTTTCCGTTCTTTCGCAAGCTGTCGCTGCTTTGCGTGTGCTTCAGCCGAAGACATATCAAGCTTGAACTTGCTATTTGCGTCTGTCTTGCCATTGGACTGGAAGTTCTTCTTGCGTTCTGGATTCACGGCGCCTGTGTCGGCATCTTCCCCTGACGGTGCTTCATCATCGTCCTGTTCTGCCGCTTCATCGAGATGTGATCGTTTCGCAGGTTTCGGTTGGTATTTCGGCTTGAAGTCGCCAGTTTTCTGCTTCTTTTCACTCTTATATGCATTGGATGGTGCTTCTTTCCGCTTCACGCCGCCCATCTTGCTCGACATATTACTGTACAATGAAACGCGGGAATGAATCTCCAGAATTCTTGAAGAAGCTCCAAGCAAGAATCGAAATAATTCTCCAGCGAGGCTTAAGCTTTCGGCGCTAGTCCCGGCCCGAAATATGGTCCAAGCGTCACGTCCTCTTCCAAGTTGGTCCTCGTCCTCCTGCTCCTCCCACCCACTCTCTGTATTCGTCTACGTCTACACCATCTTGAGGCTACCCACGACAGCTTTTCTTTCTCGACGAAGTATACTGTTGAATCAGCTCGCGAGCAACGGTCAATATCGAGGATTTCTTGGGCTCTGAAATGGCACAATCTTGAATACGGAGCACTGTGGAAGTTGATCATGCAGAAGCGGTTCATTGACGGTGCATTTACCGGTGGCTCGAAACGAAGACGTGTATGTATTTCTTCTCCTGTCTCCTTCGAGGTGAGATCCCTTCTACCACTCGTATCACATGCCTGTGCACCGACGCAGCTGCGTGGGCTTTCACAAGCTTGGCAGATTTGTAGGCACTCATTCACTCACGAGTAGCGTGTGATCATGGCTACGCCATACATATTTTATGCGAGCATTCATTCGTCTTTACAAATACTTATGCGCCATAACATTTGGTCCATGCACAAATCAGTCTAGCAATCAGGCAACGCTCGTCGAATACGACTGCGATGCCATTTCTGCAAGACACGTCTCAGAGTGTGCATCTGGCTTACGAGAAGCTGGAGGTCTCGAGCAATGGCGACCACGCGAGACTTGCAGACAGCCAGAAAGCAGATGAAACGCCTCCTCGACTTTGCAATCAGCTCCCGGACCGTGATTGTGCAAATGCTACCGCCCAACCTAGGATCAACCACGGTCTCGATGCCCCGAAAGATACACTAGATCGCGATGCGTCGCATGAGCTCACCTGCGACACCAAGACACTCGCCTTGAGGGCCGCTTCTGCTAAGGACGAGAGGGCTCCGCTTCAAGACGAACCGCTTTCTACATCTGTTAGCAATCCGGCCCTTGAAAAAGCCGTCAACCAGATACTCCAAATCAAAGGAAACCTCCGAAGGGTGCAAAAGGACCTACCAAACTATCTGAGCGAGCCAGATCTTGAGGCCAGACTTGGCCTTGTAGAGCTGGAAGAACTGGTGAAAAGCATTGGTAGCCAAGTGCGACGTGGTCAGTGTTTGCATATGGAAGGCGTTGAGGAAGGGAAAGATTCGCAAAAGGCAGCAATTCATGCGCTTCCGGATGCAAGAATATCTCTCGTAGATACCACGGAGAAGGTTTCAGAACTTGTCCGATTTATTAACGAATCTGCGGCGTCTCACACGGATGAGCCCTCGTTTTATTTCGACTGCGAAGGCGAAAACCTTGGACGACATGGCACCGTCACTCTGCTCGCCATCTACGTCCCGGATCTCTTGCGAGCATTTGTTGTTGACCTGCAGGAGCTTGATGGCAATGCTCTTACGACAGAAGGGCAGGGTGAGAGCCTGAAGACCATCTTCGAGTCGCCCAAAATTCTGAAAGGTGTCTTCGATTGTCGCGGAGATGGCGAAGCTCTCTTCGCCCACTACAACTTGAATCTTGACGGGATCGTTGACGTGCAGCTAATGGAAGCAGCTACCCGCAAAAATAGCAAGCGACTATTTGGGCTAGATGTCTGCATCAAGAACAGGCTCAAAGATCTCGATCCTACCGCGAAGGTCAAATTCTCGGAATGCAAGGAAAGTGTCAAGGAGCTTATGCGATCAGGAGATGGGTTGTGTTTCGCCGAACGTCCTCTGCCGAAGCTTCTGCTCGAATACGCCGCGTCGGATGTCATCGTACTACCGATGCTCTATGAGCACTTTGCGAACCACGAGTGCTACTGGGGAGAATGGCCTTCACGTGTTATTGAGGAGACCAACCAACGACTGAAGCTCTCGCGGCATCCGAATTACGACCCGAGCAGTCTGGACATGAGGGCAGGGCCTGTGGAATGGGTGAAGATGCCCAGAATACCGAGACCGCGAGTCGAAGGGGAACCCTAGGGGATATCAATCGCATTGAAGAAAGCAAGTGAGGAAAAGAATTTCGGTGTCCAGATGCGAATTTCGCAGCATTGATTGTATTCGAAGGTAGATCAATAGCGCTAAGCGCTACAAGTCCCAACGCCAAACAAACATCCAGGAACACAAGCGCTCCAGAATCATGAGAAGCTGCCAATCCAACCGCCTCTCATATTGAATCGTTGTAATCTTTGATTTTCAATTGCTCCGTCGAACATTTAGTTGTCCATGAGCTCGCAGGCACCATAGATGATGGAGGCGTTCTTCTTCTGGAGTTCGCAGGCACCGTAGATAATGGACGCGTCCTTCTTCGGGAGCTCGCAAGCACCGTAGATGATAGAGGCGTTCTTCTTCTGCAGAACGCAGGCTCCGTTGGATGTTTCTGCTCCTTCGTGATGTTCTCTCCTCGTCATATCTGTGAGGCAGGCTGTGATGATGCAAAGCTCACCACCGCAGAGTTCACATGAAGATCAGCAGACCAATGCTTCAGGTTGTCGTGATGCACAAGGTCGTGAGTGGTCCTGACAGAGTTTTGCCATTGGACCCTGTACGCACGGCCGCCGGCGCCAAGCGTGGCGAAGTGCTCCACTTTCTCTGCACGGCACGGTCTTGGACTTGAGGCGTTGATCTTGCTTCTGAGACCTCTCAGGTACGTACATATCTCGAAGCCCTTGCCCCGTCCATCAAAATCCCGAAAGACTTGCTGATACCCGCAACCATGTCAGGTCGGATCACCGTGCGCAATCTTACCGCGCAGCCATTGACCATCAAGCACATCGAGCGGTATGAAGCTCCTCAGGAACGGCGGGGCAGCGCTGGGCTTGGAGCACTTGCCAAGAACTTTACCACTCTCATGAGCAATGCTACGGGAGGAGAATCCGATCCACGGGCCCCAACACGGCACGAATTGTCTGAGAAGGCGCAGAGCTATGCTCAACAAGACATCGATATTCGATTGGAACCTTTTACAAGCCATAAGTCTGACATCAATTTATTCGAGCGTGCTTCTGGAGATGTTGTACGCCTCACTCTGCAAGGCGATGGAGGCGGCAAGTGGCGGATTGATGTTCCTACCAGGAGTGCCGCAGCTGAAAAGCTCACGCCCTTGACACCAGATCCAAAGCACGACTACAGTGGCATATTTGTGACCAGGGACTGCTTCCTTGCCATAATCGAGGACTGTAACCTCCAGGCCTGGATGAAAGAGTTCAAAGATGACACTTCACTTGCCGCTCTTTCGATCCCCGGTACTCACAACTCTCCAACATGCTACAAAGCCTTACCATCTGTTCGCTGCCAGGCAGTCCCGCCGAAAGAGCAGCTGGAGAATGGCGTCCGATTCTTCGACATTCGTGTCCAGCCAGCCAACCCGGACGACCCGAAAAGCGACGAGCTCAATCTTGTTCACGGAGTCTTCCCAATTTCGCTCACTGGCCCCAAGAAGTTCCGCGGTCTGGTGAAAGAAGTCCGAGAATTCCTGGACCAGAATCCCTCCGAAACGGTCGTCATCAGCTTGAAGCGCGAAGGTCCCGGCAATGCCACAGATCAGCAGCTTGGCGCAATCATTCGCGACCATTACACTGCAGGCAACACCAATAAGTGGTATACGGAGCCGAAGGTGCCGCATCTTGGTCAGGTCCGCGGCAAGATCGTGCTCATGCGTCGGTTTGCGCTCAGCGATCGATTGAAGCGGGAATGGGATGGACGAGGATGGTGTCTCAATGCCGAGAATTGGGCCTATAATACCCCAGATTGCACATATGGTGATGTCCGAGTGCAAGATTTCTGCGAAGTCCTCGAGACCGAGAACATTGACAAGAAGATCGGCTTATGCTGTGACCACTTCGAGCGGGCAGGTGGTGTCATTTGTCCAGCCTCATTCGAGAAAGTTGGTCCTCTTTTTCTGAACTTTTTGTCCGCCTCCAACTTCTGGAAAGTCGGATGTTGGCCAGACAAGATTGCTGCGAAGCTGAACCCGACCGTCACGAGTTTCATGATTCAGAAGCATGAGATTGGCGGTGACAAGGGAGATGGCGGGACTGGTATTGTAGTCTGCGATTGGGTCGGTAAAGATGGTGATTGGGATCTCGTTCGCACCATTGTCAATATGAACTCGCGGTTATTGCTGAAGCAGCGTGGCATCGGATGGCGTTAGGTGCACCGCGTCGATAGTGACGGCTTTCATCCAAGCGATGCCGCTCACACGTACGTGAGAAGCAGGGTGATGGTCAGCACTGCTGGGACTGGAACGGGACATCATCTTTTCAAAAAGCAATGGGTTGCTGCAAGACAAAGGCTGAAGCGAGCATTGCCCTTGGCGTCAAGATAGACGACAGTGTATTGAGTCACAGAGAACAGAATCTGTAGATGCCACAGATCTCATCGTAGCAATACCAGCTGCACTCTAGCTACCGACCGTAGCGTGTCTTGCAAGAATCATGACTTGACGAGTCATTCTCATTGAGCATCCATTAGAACCTTGGTCCAGTCAAACTTGTCCCAGCGCTTCCTGAAGCTCTCCAGCCGCGGATCATGTCTTTCCCATCTCCCCTGCTTCTTGATCACCTCGGGCCCTTTGTCCAACATTCCGCCCAAGATTTCTCTGGCAAAGAGATCGCCTTTTGGCCATCGCCTTTCATCCTCAATCACATGGCCCATTCCACCATCTAGTGTGAAAAAGACGTGGAAATATGGCATCTCCTTCACCATGGCTTTTCTGAATGCTTGCTTGCCGTACCCCGGCCTTTGAGTAAGAGCGAGCGTGTCGATGATGGGCTTGTGCTGACTCCACTGCTCGTCGGAAGCAAGGATGGCCTCTTTGAAGTATGCCGATGCTGTGTCTGCGAGATGATGAGGCAGAGGGATAGCGAATAATGCCGCGTGGCCTCTGCGGCTGTGCATGTGCGCTGCATTTTCGTAGAAAACGACGGATTTGTCCTGAGCATGATAGAAGCGGGCGAGAGACTTCATGAAGTTACGGATCTCTTCCCATTCATCGTCATCGCATTCGAGTAGGTTGAGACGATGTTGGATGGGAACGATAACAGCACTCCCTTTGGCGAGTTCAGGCTCGGTGTGCAATGTCATGTAAGTGCGAGTTGCGAGACTAACGACCGGTGCGACTGGTGGCGTGCTCGACTCCTCGTGGTAGCACAGAGGACAGTTCTCAAGGATGCGCTGCATTTTCTGGAACTCGCCGACAGCGGCATTTCGAAGATTCGTGTCTGATTTGATGACTCCCTTGGACAGGTTTTGTGCGTTGTCATCCATGTAATCGAGGTCGTTCTTGAACTTGCCATCCTTGGCAATGCGCTCCGCGAACTGGCGTCCTTCGCCTCCAGCCATCCCACGAGTGCGCTTCTCCTGCTTGACCATGTCTTCAATCGACATATCCTCGTTTTCCACGACAGTCCCACGCTCGCGAGCCCTTCTTCCAGAGACGGCGGTAACCTCTCCAGATCTGTCACCAGCCAGCATTCGATTCTCTGCATTGTTGAGCACCACCACATCTGGTTGGTTACCGTTGGCCAGGCTTGCTGCTTCTGCTGCTTTGTACTCCTCCTCCAGCCGAGCGAGGTCTGGCGCCTTTTTGAGCCTCGCCTTCATCAGCTGTGCCTTAAGCTTATTCAGAGCCGTCTGGTCGAGAGATGTCGTTTTAAGTGGTGCTGAAGCCTCGGCGATCGTTTGACCCTGCCTCGAATGAAATACGTCTACGTCTGCATTCTTCTGCTCATCACGCCGCATGCCTGCCTTCATCTCGCGCTCTTGGAACAGCTCGCCTGAAGGCTTTTCCAAGCTAACGTAGTCATTACCATACATCTTTCTCCGATCCACTTCTCGCTCTTCCTCTCGCGCATCATCGAACAGACGCAGATCGCCATATGTCTCCAGGGCCACATCATCGATGCTCTTCCCAGACTCCTCCGCTTTTCTGTAGACGCCTTTGAGCTTGGTCATGCGCCATGTGCTGCCACCATCGCCGAAGACATAGTTGACCTCGTGGTGGGGAGGCTCGTCCTTGACATTCTCTGCTGCAGCTTCGTCGTCGCCATCCGAGTCAAAGTCTCGCTCGAGATCAGCCAGATGTTGATTGACCTGCTTCTCTTGCACCTTGAAATCATGGTTCTGTTTGGCACCCACGAATTGGCTCGGCGGCGACTTTGGCCTCTTTCTGCTCACATAGTCGATATCGAGGGCAGAAGGCTCCTGCATCCAGGCATCACGCTGTACGCCTTTCTGCTTCTGGTGCAGATCTTGATCTGGCTGGTCCAAGACCTTCTCTGGGGGCGGCGGCGCAGTGACGGTCTCCTTCTCCACCCACTCGTCCTCTTCGTCTCCATCGCTATCGAATACTTTCACTGCCGTGTCAGGCTTCTGCTCGGACGTCTTATCCTTTGCAGGCGAATCGCTGCGGCGTCTCTTGCGATCTCTGTGGGAATCTTCGTGCCGAGCGCGATGTCGCTTTCTGCGCTCTTGATCCTCGTGGCGCTCTTCATCATGGTGTCTTCGTCGCCTATGCGATCTCTCTCGGTCGTCATCATCGTCGCGGTGTCGATGCGATCGGTGGTGATGGCGGTGGTGGTGTCTTTCTTCGTGGTCTTTTGATCGATCCCGGTGTTTCCTGCGCTCTCTGTTGTCCTCTCCGTCCTCTCGCGACTTGCTCTCCTTTAATTCGCGCTCAAAATCGTCCAGTCCCATCGTGGGGCGTGTGATTTGCCAGCAACCTAGACACTTGCTTGAAGGTGGAGATGGAGCTGCTGCTGGACCCGGACCCTCGCCCAAACAAATTTCGACTGCCCGCCAACGTCACTTTCGCTGTCACATGCAAACTGCCTCTGCTCCCTCCAACAACACCCTCACATTAGAGAGAAGGTCAGCCAACGATGGCGTCGAGTGGTGCATCGGCAGGCGACAAGCCTCCTGTCGCTGTTGTATGCGTGGGAATGGCGGGCTCGGGCAAGACGACTTTCATGCAGAGGATCAACGCGCATCTTCACGAGCAGTCGCAAGAATCGTCGACGCAGCAGCCGCCGTATGTGCTCAATCTCGATCCGGCAGTGCGAAGTGTGCCTTTCGATTCCAATATCGACATTCGCGACTCAGTAAACTACAAGGAGGTCATGAAGCAGTACAATCTTGGGCCGAATGGAGCCATCTTGACCAGCTTAAATCTGTTCAGCACCAAGATTGACCAGGTCATGTCGATACTAGAGAAGAGATGCTTGCCACAGCAACCCTCCAAACCACTGCCGAGTCACATTATCGTCGATACTCCCGGCCAGATCGAGGTCTTCGTCTGGTCGGCTTCTGGTAACATTCTGCTGTCCTCGTTCGCATCCAGCTTTCCTACCGTCATCGCATACATCATCGACACCCCGCGAACGACCGAGAACACCAGCACATTCATGTCCAACATGCTCTACGCAATCAGTATTCTCTACAAGACAAAGCTGCCCATGATTCTCGTCTTTAACAAGACCGACGTGAAGGATGAGTCTGAGGCTGTGGAGTGGATGCGTGACTTCGAGACTTTCCAAAATGCCGTGCAGCAGGAGGAGGAAGAACAGCGTGAAAGTGGAGGCTACATGGGCCCTCTGCTGAATAGCATGAGCCTGGTGCTCGAAGAATTCTACAACCATTTATCCGTCGTAGGCGTGTCTTCCATGACAGGCGACGGCGTCGATGGCTTCTTCCACGCCATCGAAGAAAAAAGGCAGGAGTTCGAGAAAGACTACAAGCCCGAGCTTGAGCGAAGGCGCGCTGAAGCTGAAGAGCAGAAGAAAGAGCTGCAGCAGAAAGAAGTCAGCAGAATGATGAACGACATGCAGGTCTCATCCAAAGCAAAGGGCACTGGCAAATACGCGAAGAAGTCTGAACCAGAGACTGTCAGCGATTTGGAAGACGCAGACGAGGATGAAGAGGCCACCTCTGGTCTTGTGGACCCGGACGAGCCTGACGATGAGGATGGAGAGATTGACCAAGCTTTCGAAGAAGGCCTGAAGGCGCGATACGAGGCAGCATTGCAAGCTGGAGGTGCTAGCGCTGCTGCAAAGACAGCCGCGGACTACATCCGAAGCAGTCAGCGATGAGAAGTGAGCATGACAACATTTCGCAGCCCACGGCGTTCCTGGCATGCCACATCAAGCCTATCACGATTCACACATGGTTGAGGGAGGAAGTCCAGACGGAGGCCCAACAAAAGTGTTTCACACTCGATTCCAAGCAGGATCGCGTTCCTGATGAGCCCGAAAGCCTTCACTCCTGAACTCATTCCTATGATTGTACCGGGGCAACTATCTCGATCTGATTGTCGAGGTTGGGTTGGCATTGAGTTTTGCCTGTCGAAAGCTCCTTGACTCGAGGGCAGCTATAGAGGGACAAATTCCCCTAAGTCCAAGCTTCCTCCCATGATGTCGGTCGGAGGTTATGCAGCGAATCTCCCGATCTCTTGTTCGCGTTCCTACAGCGCTGACTCAAGCCAGCTGCGCGCCACAAGCAAAAAGCCCTGAGTCAGAAACAATACCAACCTGGTTGCAACCAATGCTCAAATTGGTGGGAAGACAGTTTGGGGGATTCTGCAATTGCTGCAGCGGCACATTCGGGAATGCTTCTGCCATTCTCGATATGTACCTGATGAACACTTTCACTCAGACGGCAGAAGATTTCCCTGCCTCTTCTTTTCACCCTAGCACTGCAATCAGATCCTTCGGTACCGCAGTCGAGTCGACAGCAACTCTTCTTGAGAAAACGAGCTTGATGATGGTATGTATACACATGGCATTATTTCCAAATTCCAAATTACGTCCTCAACGGTTTTTTTCGCGAAGTCCGCGTGACCCCATGTGTCTTCCTCTGTTCCGACTGAGTCGTCGATGAATTGCAACGACGAAAGTGGCTGATTCAGCACATGTAACTCTCCCCCCCACTTTTCGCATCTTCACGAAAGAAGAAACCCGCCATGCAAGACCGAGTCGAAATCCTTTGCGGCCAGCAAGTTCCCGTCTTTTTGCCATCATTTCTCGTGAGTCCGTGTTGTCATGCACAAAGAAATCCGCCAATAATGCATGCATGCATGCAAGTATGTATGTATGGGACCTGCGTGATGTGGTTGTTGTTTAGAAGTCAGGGACAGGACAGGAACAGGACAGGAACAAGAACAGGTCTAAAAAAAAAAGTCACCTACCTCCCTCCCCATCTCCGATCCACATATCGACATAGGTCGAGATGATACATACAGTAGGTCTTCAATTATTCGTAACCGCACGATACGTTTTCAACGAACGATTTATTAGAAACAGATGTCTTAAGAATCAATTCTCGATTTTGTACTACTACTGGACTTGTACATAGCGTTGTTCATACCTGGTTCTTGGAGCTTTGTTATCGGGTCTGGTTAGACGAGAGAATAATGTGATCAGCAAGAGCTTGAGGTAGAGGGTCCTGTCCCAATACCAACCAGGCAGGATCCGCGCGAGCTTTCCTTGTAAGTTAGTTACGTCAAGTCGAGTCGAGCTCACCTCCTCCTCCCAGGCTCCTCGACAGCACAGTCAAGCTTATTAGGACAGTATGAAAATTTGAATGAGCGTAGAAAAAAGTGATGTTGGTTGCAATTGCATGACTGTTTGCATTGTTATTCAGGTGTTAGGTAGATCTGTACCTAATTGCGCTTTGCGTTTGCGCTGTGTATCTTCTTTGTAACTCGCGAATCGCAATACTCTCGCACTAAAGACTCAAGGCGACTTTCTCTCGTTGGTGGCCCAAATTCGCCTCTACCAAGCATCCTGTGCTGATTGCCTGTCCCTCTCTCAAGCTATCGTAGCAGAGTGGGCTTCGTCAAAACATAAACTATCTTCGCAAGCTGCGCGACTGCTGTAGTCCGCTTGTTTTGTTCCTCCAACTAATCTTCGACGGCACACGTTCATGTTCTCGAACCAGGAGAAATCCTTGCATCTCTGCTGAGAGGAGACGCCAGGCCGTGTCGCCCATTATCTTGCTTGTTGCGGCATCTTTCGAAAAACAGTGTTTGGGGTATATTGCTTGAAAACATTCCTGTTGCTCAACCTGAGGGAAAGTGACGGTGATCCAGTCGGCTAGTAGGGCCGAACCGGGCGAAAGGCAGCCGCTACGGCGTTTTTGAGTCTGAGCTCGTGTCCGAGGAGGGAGATCGGGCAGTCAACTTCTCTTCAGAATGGCGACGATGCTCATCTGCCGCCAAAGCCAAGCTATGCAGTCCATTAGAGAGGCCTGGGGAGGGGTAGTTGTAGTTGATTGCATCTGGGTCGACCATTGCCGCAGTAGGTGCCACGTAATCCAATGACGAAGCGTATTGTGATCGCTGGAGCGGTGGTCGTATGGCAAGGTCAGGAGCCATTGGAAGAGCTGGGACTGGGCCTGTGTCCAGACTGCCGAGAAAATATGGTCCAACGGGCACGGGCATGAGCATCGGCTGGTCAGCAGGAAGGGGCTGGACTGCCGGTGGCTGGACTTGGACTTGCTCGACTGCGCGAGCGACCTGTTGGGCCTGCTCGGCCTGTGTCTGCTCGGCGAGTTGTTGCTGGACGGCAGCTTCAAGCGCGGGCTCGTTCTTGACGGTCGTCTTCTTGGCAGATGCCTTGGTCGGCTTC